TCTTACAAATCTTTAGAATTAATTGAAATAAAGCTGTATGATAAGGAGCCCAATGCGCCCCAAAATCTATTCTTTCTGAAAAAAACATTGGTCATGTTCATTTTTTAAAATTGTATATTAAAGCAAAAACAGAATGTGTTCCTGTAAAAATGCTAAGAAGTAGAAACAAGCTATCTATCCATATCTATCCAATCATTAACAAATTCAGTTTTATTGAAATCACAAGTCTCTACAATGTGTGCAGCTAAAGAATCATGGAGAACCTGGGCCAATGATCACAACTAATTCAGCTGCATGTCAATATACAATTGTCAGATGGAATTACTTATTTTAAATATTGAGAATCGGAAAAGGCATATGGTAGACCAGGGTCATACCATTTTTCCCCTGTGGAAGGTTTTGACTTTTGAATGATATATCAGAGGCGATATTCCTCAAAATGGGTGAGAAGGGGCATTGGTAGACTTACCAGTGAACGCCCTTTCTAGACACACTGCGATAGATAGAGATAACTCCACCCTCTTATGACGTGAACTGAGTCTATTATAAAAGGTTTGCCTCTGCTGAGAGCCCCAGCTTTTCTGGTGAAGTATCTTGACAGACTAGGATTATCTCTGGAATATAAACAAATAGAATGAGCATACAACCGTCCCCCTTCCCAAGAATACTAGACCAGATGACCACAGGGTGGGTCTGGACTCTATCAAAACGTGTCTAGAAAGGGCGTTCACTGGTAAGTCTACCAACAAACCTTCTCCGTCATGCTGCTCTAGAGTCCAGCATTGGGACCAAAGCCTGCATGACCAAGGGAGGGACTCAGCTGGTCCTCTTAATCCGACCTAGGAACCACCCACTGGAGTACCCTTCGTCCAAATGCAGCCTGTGCAGAGGCAAAGGAGTCCAGCCAGTGGGCGGTGACTGGTATGTTACCAGGGGCGTAACATACCAGTCATAGGAACAGGCAAGTTTGCAACTAAATTTCAGGACTTCAAGGGACAATTACCCCTTACTATTGTAGAAGGCACCTTACCTAGTTTAATGGAGTTAGACTGGTTTGACGCTTTAGGGCTTAAAATGACAGGTATACATTGCACTCAAAACCAAGATATTGAGGCACTGTTAGCTGAATTTAAAGATGTTTTCAATGACCAGTTAGGCCATTATGTAGGCACCCCAATTTCTTTTGTGTTAGACTCTGCAGTAACTCCTATCAGATTGAAGCCCCGAAGTGTCCCTTTGCATTAAAACCAAAAGTGGATGCAGAAATTGATAAATTGATCTCCCAAGGGGTCCTGGAGCCTGTGGATTACGCACTATGGGAAACCCCTATAGTGACCCCTCTTAAACATGATGGCTCTATCAGATTATGCGCAGACTATAAGAGCACATTAAATAAGGCTTTGAGCACTAATGCTTCTCCTGTGCCTATAATTCAACATCTCCCCCATTCAATGGAAAAGGGCACCATATTTTCTAAGCTTGACATGGCCCAAGCATATCAACAGCTGCTTGCCACTGAAACAACTGCTCTAGCCCAAACCATTGTAACACATAGGGGAGCGTTTAAGTGTAAACGCTTGCAGTTTGGGATATCTGTGGCTCCTGGCATATTCCAATGCCTTATGGAATGATTGCTGCAGGGTATCCCTGGCATTATACCATACTTTGACGATGTCATCATTTCAGCACAAAACAAGCAAGACCTCCTGCAACGCCTTAGACAAGTCCTCACTTGCTTTCAAAGCTCAGGACTCAAACTAAAAAGAGATAAATGCAAATTTGGTGTTTCCCAAGTGGACTTCCTGGGTTACTGCATTGATGCTCAGGGGATTCACCCTACAAACTCTAAGGTTACAGCCATTAAAAAAGCACCTGTTCCTAGAAACAAAAAGGAGGCCTTTTTAGGTCTCCTAAATTTCTATGCCTCATTCCTTCCACACAAGGCTTCTGTTGCAGAACCACTTCACAGATTATTAGACTCACAAGCCCAATGGTCATGGGGCAAACCACAACAGGATTTTTTTGATGTTATCAAAGCGATGCTTTCTTCTGACAGCGTCTTGATGCAATTTGATAACCAATTGCCTTTGATCCTATGTTGCGATGCATCTCCTTGTGGTATAGGTTCTGTCTTAGCTCACATATTGCCTAGTGGAGGGGAAGCCCCTATAGCTTATTTTTCCAGGACTATGTCAGCAACAGAAAGAAATTACTCGCAAATTGATAAGGAGGCTTTGGCAGCCATTGCCTCTGTTAAACGATTCCACGAATTTCTCTATGGCCGCAACTTCCATTTAATAACAGACCACAAGCCTCTCCTAGGTATCCTGTCTGGCAACCGAAAAAATCCCCCTATTTTGTCCCCTAGGATGACCTGCTGGGCATTATTCTTGGCTGCATACTCCTATTCCTTGCAATACAGGGCTGGCAAGCACCTTGGACATGCAGACGCATTGAGCCGTTGCCCCTTGCCTGACAAAATTATAGACCCTGCCTCTTCCTCATCTATACTACTAATTGACGATCATCAATTACCTATTATGGCTGCAGTTGTCGCAAAAACCTCCTCTAATGATCTTATTCTCTTGCAGATATTAGACTGAGTGATAAGGGGGTGGCCAGAATGGGTTGTAGATGCCCCATTTATGCCATTCAGAGCAAAGCAGCATGAATTGTCCACCCAACAGGGCTGCCTACTGTGGGGAGGTAGAGTAGTAGTTCCCAATATCTTGAAACCTAAGATTTTAAACAGCTTGCACAAGGGCCATCCAGGAATAGCCCGCATGAAGGCTTTAGCTCAGAGCTATGTTTGGTGGCCTGGCATAGACTCTGATATCATCACAAGAGTTAGAGAATGTCATACATGCCAAACATTTGGAGTGCACCTCCAGTCACTACTTCTGGGGAATGGGAATCTGCTAAGTCTCCCATATTGACCTGGCTGGACTGTTCCAGGTTCACACCTTCTTTATCATTGTGGACTCATATTTGAAGTGGGTAGAGTTGGTCCTCATGCAGTCTACCACATCAGAGATGATTATCAAGGTGTTAGATCGCCTTTTTGCAACCCATGGTTTTCCCGACATCCTAGTGTCAGATAACGATCCACAGTTTACCGCAGCGAACTTTGAGTTATTCTTGGCACACCGGGGCATAAGGCACGCCCTTGTCACCCCTTACCACTTGGCGTCTAATGGTCAAGTAGAGAGGGCTGTGAGGGCTGCCAAAGAAGTGCTGAGGCAATTAGAGGGTGAGGACTGGCATTCTAAGTTGGCAAAGTACCTGCTAATACAACACGTTACCCCCAGCACAGTTACCAATCGTTTGCCAGCAGAGTTATTAATGGGTTGAAAGCTGAGGAACCATATGGACAGACTCCACCCCAGTTATGCCCCAAATGTTCCCTTAAATTCTTCTAGTGGCATTAGAGTTTTCCAAGTTGGGGATTTGGTTTATGCATGGAATTTTGTAGGTAATCCATTGTGGCTGCCAGGGAAAATAGAGGCAATTACCGGCCCAAAATCTTATTAAATAAGTCTGTCGGATAGCTGAGTTTAGCACCGACATGTAGACTATTTATGGGGGTTGGGCTGAGTTCTCAGAGGATCCATCTGATAGCGAGCCAGCCAGCGCACAGCAACACAAACTTGGAGTGGCCGACACACCAAGGCACAAGACAACTGGAAGATGACCTACTTTTAGAAGTTCCTCCATCTGAGTCCGAGTCAGTTGAGGAGAAGAGTCCAGCGATGTCTCCATCATCGTCTGCTAGCCCTGCAAGCAATCGCTCTCTGATGACCGGGCAAGCCAAATTGCATAGGTCCAGCCAGACTAGGCAACACCCCACCTATCTGAATGACTACGCATTCCCTGACTGGTGGGAAGGGGTGTTACGTTCAGCTGAGCTGAGCAGGAACTGAAGTCCATTCTCATTGGCTGAGCTGTCTGACAGCAAGCGGTATAAAAGTGAGCTGTCAGACCGCATCAGCTGTTGCTTGTTCCTGTCAGCCAACTCGCAAATAGAGCAGCTATTGCGGTTACTGCGGTTACAATTAATATTACAGTTAGCAGTTACAGTTATTAATCACTAGTAATAAAAGTTGACTTAGCATAATCGTGGACACCATTTGTGCCTCACAAAAGCGAGGTCCATGTAGCAGCTCTACAAATATCTTCGATCGGAGCCAGCGTGGCCCAAGCTGCCAAAGTCACTGTGCTCCGGGTAGAGTGTGCAGTCAGTTTCTTGGGAGCTGGCAAGCCAAGAGTTTCATATGCAGTAGAAATGCATGCTCTGATCCACCTACTCAAAATTGGAGGTGAGGGCTTAGACCCCAAGGAGACAGGTTGAAAAGACACAAACATTGACTCAGTTTTGGGAAAAGGTGCAGTTCGTTTGATATAAATCCTGAGTGCCCTTTTCACGTCCAATGTGTGTCACTGACATTTCAATACATGTTGGTTATGGGACAAAAGTCAGGGAGAACAATCTTGAGCCCTGTGAAACCAAGAGTTAATTTTTGGTACAAATGAAGGATCCAGATGCAAAATCACCTGTTTGCCATGAAACATACACAAATCTGGCCTTACCGAAAGGGCAGCTAATTCAGACACCCTCCTGGCTGACATAATAGCCACCAAGAAGGATACCTTCAGAGTTAAAATACAGAGTCCTACCATTTGTAAAGGCTCAAAAGGAGGGCCTGAGAGAGCTTGGAGAACCTTAGGCAAAGTCCTAAGTGGGATAACTATGCACAATGGGTGGTCACAGATTTGAGGCTTCCCTCAGAAATCTGCAATCAAAGGGTGGCGGGAGAGGGGTGTGTACCTGTCCCATGAAATTACTGAAGCTAAGACTGCCACCTATCTGTGGAGGGGGTTAGGGGCCCTTGTCCAGCCCTTCCTGGAGAAACTGAAGGATCTCCAGAACAGATGCTGAAGAGGGGGTTCTGGGCTGTCTCCGAGCACCAGTCACTGAATTTCCTCTAGGTGGCATCATAAAGTCAGGTTGTAGACTTTTTACATGAAGCCTGTATTGTGTTAATTACACTATCTGAAAGGTTGGCCTCCTTCAACAACTTCCGCTCAACCGCCAAGCGGTCAACTGGAACCGTTGGGGTTCCAGATGCAGAAGGGCCCCCTGACTGAGAGAGATCCGAGAGGTCAGGATTTTCCAAGGCCTCTGAACAGACACGTTCACCAGGTCCACAAACCAGGGTCTCCTGGCACAATATGGGGCCAGCAGAATCAGCTCCTCCTTTTCCTCCAACATCTTCCGGATGACTGCTGGGATGATTGGAAGGGGGGAAAAGGTGGAGAGGAGACCTGGGGGCCATCTGCTCTGAAGTGCATTGGTCCCCTCCACTCCCTGGATTGGGAACCTGGAGAAAAACCCGTTTATCTATGCATTCTGGGGAGTGGCAAAGAGGTCCACCTCTAGAGTTTCAAAAATGTGGGAAAATTCTATGAACAGAGGAGGATGGAGTCTCCATTCCAAGTGGTCGACTTGAGATTGACTCAACCAGTCTGCCTGGGAGTTGTTGACACCCAAAATATGGTCCACCCTGAGAGACAGGAGGTTCCTCTCTGCCCATCTCCCCAGATTTTCCTCCTCCCTCTCATCTACAGCACAGGAATGTAACACCTCCAGCTTTCTTCCCTTTTGCACAGCTGCGAAGTTTTATCAAAATATGTCAAGGTCAACGGACAGAGGCCTCATCACCACCTGAAGATGCCCACATGATCATATTCAGAACTTCTAATTGGAAGAGTCTTTTGGAGTTTGGGGGGTGGGAACAATTCCATCCCTTTGTATATGTGATCTGCACGCCAAATTCTTTAGATTCAGAATCTTCCCTGTAGCTTCCACTTTGAAATTTAGTAAAAGAGAAAACTTTGCTCTATTGGAGTCTGAGTGTTTCTTTCCTGGATTTTGAATGGAGCACAGACTGACACTAGGTTCTGGAAACTTCTCAGGATGAGAAAAATAGCCCTGAGCTCCAGGAGATTGATGGGAAGGGACCTGTCTGAAGATGGCCAGTGTGCTTGGGCCATCTGGTCCTGGGCGTGTGCTCCCCAGCCGAGAAGGCTGGTGTCTGTGGTCACTACAATTCCATCTCTCACCATAAAGGAATGACCCTTTGTGATGGCCTGGGACTGCCATCATCAAAAGGACCAAAGCACCTGTGCAGAAAGCAACACCCTATGGACAGAATGGCTGATCCCCTCTCTTTGGAAGGGGAGGAGGAACCACTGCAAGGTGCATGCATGTAGGCATGCCTGTGGCACAACTTCAATGCAGGAGATCATCTTCCCAAGCAACTGGGACAGGAGGGAGAGTAGAACGGAGTGACTTAGTTGAATTCTGTTGATCATCTCTTTGATGCTGTCCTGTCAGTCCTGTGAAAGAAGGACTTCGCAGCTGACTGTGTCGATGATGACCCTGAGGTGCTCATTGGAGAAAGATGGCTCTTGATCAGGTTGATGGAGAAACCATGTTCCTGCAACACCTGTATCGTGATTTGAAGATCTCTTTCATCCGTCTGGACGGAGGTAGATTGAATCAGAATGTCGTCCAGGTAGCATTGGACCCTTACAGATAAGGCTCAGAGGAGGGCTGCCAATGCTGCCAGGACCTTAGTAAAAACCTTGGTGCCAATGAAAGGCCAAATGATAGGGCCCGGTATTGGTAGTACTCACTGCAATAAGAAAAATGAAGGGGGACTTCCAGTTTGAGCTTCTTCGGCGACAGACCGAAATCTCATCTCTCCGAGGCTTCGATCCAGCTTGCCACTGGAGCGCCCCGAGATGGCTGGTTTCAGGGCTAAGCCACCCCGTAGAGGTGGTGAAGAGGGGGGAGACTGCCTGCAGGGTTGAGGAGAGCCGCATCTCTCCTCCCCAGCTGGCCATTACTCCCTTTCCCGAAGGCGGTTGTAGCAGTGGTCAGAAATGGCCACCACAAAGAAGAACTTGACTGGAAAAGAATGTGCAGGAGGAAGATAAGAAGATAAAGTTTTGGTTGACCGGGTCAAACAGCAAAAGCAACAAATAAGGTACCCTGGAATTTAAACTTAACAACATTGTTTCCAAAGAAGATTTTGAAGCTGCAAAGGAGAGAGAGAAGGGAAAGGATTCGGTTTTTTTTTCTTCCCTTCCTTATACTGACAGCTAAGAGACTTAAGCAAGAAACTGAAAAAAAAATCCACTTTGACATTAATAGGCATCTAAGCTGAAAATAAAAGTCAAAGGGATAAATAAAGATTTCTGGACATTTAAAAGTTTTTAAAAGCTGGAAAGGAGAAAAAAAAGAATAGAAGGGCAGGATCTGGAAAAATGGAGACTGCCTGGAATTAAGGAATGGAACTGTAATTAAAAAGAACTTACAATGAAATTTTAACAAGATTCCTCAAAGATACATTTTAATGGAAACTTGGTAACAAAATAATAGAACCCCAGGAAGAGAAAGTGGAAAAAAGAAGCAAGTAAAAACAGCCTTGGATTATTTGAATTACTTGGTGATTTTTGGTTTTTGCATCTAGATGACTAAAATTAGCTGGGTGGTTGTTTAAAAGTTTATAAAATGGTATCACTCTTAGAAGAACTGAAAATGGAACTTAAAAAATGGAAAGAAGACGCACAAGAAGGGAGAAGTTCTTTTGGCTTCATGTTTCAATTCTTAGAATTGGAGATCTGGAACTATGAGAAGCAACAAGAAATGCTTGCAAAACAAGAAGATTGGGACAAAGAAGAAGCCATCTTTAATGATCAAATAATTTTAAGTGAGGGGGGGAGAAAAGGGGGGAAAGAGAGTGAAAGGTTTAAGATTAGAAAAACCAACCAAAAAGAAGAAGAAGAATTTGAAAGATAAGTATAATATTAGAAAGCAACAGAAGAGGGGATTACAGATGAGAGAGTTAGAAGTAGAGAGACGAGGGGGTAAAAGGGGGAGGGAAAAGAAGAGGGGGAAGAAGGCAAGGAAAAGAAGTTGTAAAAGACAGAAACAAGAAATGGAGAAACAGGGAAAAGATATAAGGATTGTAACCATAATTTTGTTTAGAGATAATGGGTGAAAATTTAATTGTAAAAGGGATTCTGCAAAGGTACATAAGATAGCTTTGTTATATTACAAATAGAAATAACTTTAGAAAATATGATGATGGATAAAATATTTATTGTAATGCAGTGGGATGTTTGTCAATAAATAAATGAATTAAAATGATTGAGAGAATTAAAAGGGAACATTTTTAATTATTAGTAATGATTTATAAAAATATAAGTGAGAAATATGGGAAAAAAAGAATTAACTATGGAAAGTTTATAAGTGTTCCCAAGGAAGTATGATATTCAATTGAAAAGAAATGTTAAAGATGTTAAGATTTTAATGCATATTAATGATAGAATTGAATTGGAATGGAATGTGTTTTATTTACACACACACACACACACACACACACATATATATATATTCTTTTTAAGAATATAGTGTCTATTTTAATAATGTACCAAGTAGAATTCGATTAGAAGTTATGTATTATATTGAATGCTATAATCTTAAAGCTATACATTGAAGCTTAAATAAGAGCTTGAATGGATAAAATTAAAGGATATAAAGGTGTCATACTCTAATTGGTAACTACAGGGAAAAATTTGCTTAATAAGAAAAGATAATGTGAAATTGTAACAGGACAGACAAAAGTATAAATATAATGATTTGAATTGAAATAATTAAAACAAAGTTGAGAAAATTAGCAGAGGGGAAAAACTATGTAGAAAATATAAAATGGTAATAAGATATGGAATAGAATATAAAAATGAGCATGAAATTGAGTTTTGTGTCTGTATGAAGAAGTGATAACCTGGTACCATGCTATTTTCAAAAAAGATGTTTTATTTGTATTTTGTTTTTGTGAAAACCCAAATAAAATTTTCAAAAAAAAAAAAAAAAGAAGGAACTGGATGGGGAGGCCAAATTGGGCTATGGAGGTAAGCCTCCATGAGATCTATGGAAGAGAGAAGATCGCCCTCTCGGACGCTCTGAAGAATAGAATATAGGTCTGTGCCTGCAGCTTGTTCTTGTAATTGTTCAGTATTTTTTGTGAATTGTTTCTCTAAAGTTTCATGTCTTATCTTTTCTGCCCTAAGTTCAGACTTGGAGTCCTTCTTGGGGGCTAGGGCCCTGGCCTTGATCTTTGCTGTGGCTTCCTGTTGGCTGAACGGACTCGTGGTCATTTTCTTTTCATAACCCTTTTGTGGGCTTGAGAGATCTGAATGCTCTGCATGCCTGATGGTCCTGGCTGGGCCCAATCTATTTCCATTGCTCAAGGACGAAACACCTGAAGTGCTGCCAGCTCCTCCTGATGGTGTTTTCCAGGCCAGGAGACAGATAGGATCACTGCCTTGGGGCCCACTAAAAAATGGTGCCCGGAGGAACTTGATCACAAAAATGGCCACCAGCCATGAGGTGAGGGGCCTTAAGGCCTTTGATGATCCCTGTTGCACGTTTGAATCCCTGGGGCTTCATGCTGTGGCCTTTGTGTGGCAATTTATAATGGCCAAATTAATATCTTCGCAGAAGGAAGATTGCCCCTCCAAACGATGCAGCAGTAGAAGGGAGGTTGGTTGGGATCGGGCCTAATCATGAGGCTAATCATGAGGCTTAACCACGAGGGTAGCTATCGTGATAGTTTATGGCCCAATAAATCTCTGGAAGACTTGTGCAGCTTCGGGCCACGCGGCCCAGGGAAAAGCTGCGTAGGAGGCTGTTGTGATGTTAATTAGCCTCTAGCAAGTCTGAGGGAGGTTCCGCGGCATTTTGGCCGATTGCACTTACTGTCTGCATGTCAGTTGCCTTGCTGAGGCAGCTGAATCTGGAGGAGAGTGGATCCCTGCTCTCATGAGTGAAGCTCTACCAGAGTCCTGAGAGCTTCTCACGATCTTGATGATTCTTTTTTTCTTTTTTTCAATGCTTTTGTTTTGAGGAATGCTAATTAACTCAGATTCCAGAGACAATAGCTCATATGTCCAAGAGCTGAGTCGAAAAGCTGGGGCTCTCAGCAGAGGTGAACCTTTTATAGTGGCAGACTCAGCTCCTGTCATAAGAGGGCGGAGTTATATCCAATGCTGGACTCTAGAGCAGCATGACGGAGAATATGAAAAATAGATAGTCTTTTCGACTGCATAAAACTTAATTTGCTTAATATTTCAAGCCTATTTCCAATAACCTTGTATACCATTAATATAATTTCCCCATTTATTTAATAAGCTCTCACTTTCATGAATTAAAATTATGATGCCACTGCAACTTTCAGAAAAGCTCTGGCATTTGCACTGATGACTTTGGGAAAGGGGAAGGCTAGATGCAACCTTGTGGCAGCCTGAAAGATTAATGGCAATTAAATGGATGTGATTAGAGAGAATGTGGAGAGCAACTGTCCAGATTAAATACAAATCACTTATCCAACAGGAAATTTACCAAATAACCTTGGGCAGCCATCATTTCTGATGTAAGATACCTGATTAAGATGAAAGAACAAAAATGTAAATATGCTTTCTGGCTTATGTTTGATTTTGCAGAGGTAGGCTTAGATAAAAGTTAAGCAAAAATCAAAAATTGTGTACCAATTTTTTTATCCTCTTCAGCTGAGAGAAAAGATTAAAAAGAACAAGACTCCATTAGAAATTCATCCACATAAAGGTTATCTCAGTCCTGGTTGACAGAAAAAAAATGTTTATTCTATCTAAAATTGAAAAGAGTGGGACCTTTTCAAATGAAGCATGCAAACTGTAAATCCTTCTCAACATGGAAGGACATCAATCAGCTTCTCTTACACATTTCAAATCAAGAGCATCGTAAAAGTCTTGTGCTGTGTTCACAGACTGACGGCAGTCCTCACTCCGGTCTGCCACCCGCGCGGGAGCGCCGATCGCTCCCATTGGTTGATGCCGTTTGACAGCTGGCTATAAAAGGAGCTGTCAAATAGCATCAGCTGTTGCCGCCAGCTGACTGCCAGTTAGGCTCGGCAGCCGCGGCAACCCTTTATTCGTTCGAATAAAGCTTGTTAAAAGTCAGCCTGCGTTTGTCTCAATCTCTACCGCCGCTCCACAACATCTTGTTTCTCTGTTTCCATGTTATTTTTGTTATTGTTGCTTTATCAACAAAGAGAAGAAAAGCTGCAGTGTGATTCTACTGATTTATTTGACATATAGTTATGCCTAACTTTTCAGATAACTATAAAATAATGAACAGCAGATTTTAAAAAGATAATCTGAAACACTGTGTGTGTGATTGAAAAAAAAAAGGTCTTTTAGTACAGGGGTTAACAACCTTTTGGACCTCAGGGACCACCAAACCCATAATTTTAAATCCTGGGGATCACTAAGATGAATGTTGACTGATGGTGGGAGAGAGAGAGAGAGATCTGATCTAACCTCTCTGTGTGTGTGTGTGTGTGTGTCTGTCTGTCTGTCTGTCTCTCTCTCTCTCTCTCTCTCTCTCTCTCTCACACACACACACACACACACACACACATACAGAGGCAGGGGTGGAATTCAAATTTTTTAACAACCAGTTCTTGGGCATGGCCTAATTTGTGGGCGTGGCTTGGTGGTCATGTGACTGGCTGGGTATGGCTTGTATGTAAATATTATAAATATTTATGTAAATATTGAATTTTTTTATAAAAAAAGAGCAACGTTACCTAAAATCAGGCAAAGCAGACAGGCAGATTGAGTTGCTCACATCTATCTATCTGCCATCAGCTAGCTCAGTCTGTCACATAAAATTTGCTTGCAAGCAAACTCATAAAATTTGCTAGTGAGCAAACTCACAAAATTAACTCACAAGACATCATGTATGTAAATATTGAATTTTTTATTAAAAAAAGAGCAACTTTTACCCAAAATCAGACAAAGCAGGCAAGCAGATTGAGTTGCTCATAGAATTATAGATTCACTTAGAGATCTGTGTTTCAGCCATCGGCTATCTGAGTCTGCACTGCTTCAGTCCTAAGGAAGGTTCGGCTGTGCTTAAAAGCAGAGCCGAAGACCTAAAGGTTAGCTATGAAGCAAGAACTCCAATGATTTCCTGCTTTCTAGCTAATCTAAATCTCCCAGCACAGCAAAACAGCTGATGGTCAGGAAAAAAAAAGGAAAAATAGCAACTTAGCAGGCAAGTTTGTCAGGTAAAGAGTGAGTGGGCGGGGAGGGTTCCCGTAAGCCATGTGGGTGGCGCAACCTTGTGTTCCAGCGCTGCCTGGATTAATTGCTTTGGGGGGTGCTCTGGGGGTGACATTCTTCTGTGGACCACCAAAATTTTTATCGCGGACCACTAGTGGGCCACAGCCTACTGGTTGACGACCACTGTTCTAGTAAACAAATATTGGAATTATGTGTAAAGATGACCACCTCAAGGTCTATTTGTGTATTTGCTGCTGTGATCTACACTGAATCTCTGAGGTTGGCTTCCAAAGTGACTTCTTGAATATCAGGAATTATTTGCAGCACCTGGTTCATTTTTTCCCCCTCAGACTTCTGGGCTACTTCTGACCATAACTGATGAAAAGTAATGGCAGTTTCCTGCCATTTTGAGGCAGGAAACTAAAGAATAAGTCCTAGAACAGGCAGATTCAATTTTTAAAAATGAACGCTCCACAAAACTTCACTCTTGGATGAATGTGATTAGTTCTACATAGTCTGTTATAGACAATATTTACCACAGTTCTTCAAAGAAATGAAAGTATTCCATCTCTATCAACTACAATAGTTCCAAGTGAAACTTAAAGAACTTCTCTTGCAGATATGAAAATGGAATGAAATTTTTTTTAATGATCATTCCCAAGAACCAGTTTTCCCATCAATATTACAGAGATGGCCTCACATTCTAGCTCATATTTGACCAACTGTTTGGTTCAAAAGCCCTTATCAAAGGAAAAAAAAGCTAACATCCATGCTAAGTTCTGATCCATCTTAATTGTGGACTATATATCAACCCCGCAAAGAATGTTAAAAATAATTTCACCATAATGAATGGTTTATATGCAACAGTGAGTTTTTAGTTTTGATTTTTTTTCCTGCAGCACTCGAGAGGGACTCAAAAAGCAGTTAGAAACTGTAAAAATAAACATTCCCTTGCATCAAATTTCACTTCCAGCTATTTTCTTGGCCAAAGTATGGCAGCGGTTTGTCACTGTCTTCTTTTGGGATATTTCTTTTACAGATTCCTAGATTAGCCTGAAATTTCTTAGTCATACAAATATCTATGTCATACTACTTCATGCAACAACAATAAGTAGGTCCCAGGCTACCATTTCATCATTTTGAACCTGTATCTCTGAATGGACAGTTATAACTTTCCCCAGCTTTATAGAAGGGAGCACCAGCATAACCATCCTAGAGCTAAAACAATAAATTTAGCAGAATGTCCTAAATGTTTTTTTCTTAGAGAAATATTTCTCCCTTACCTTCACCCACTTAAACCTTTCTGTCCACTTTTTAGACATTTTAGCCTGCAGAATTGCAACCCACTATTGGCAATTATAGCTCTCCTTCAGAAACGACTTCCAGTCCTTTGCTGCAGAGAAAAAAAAATGAAGCTGACAGTAAAAATGAAGCAGTACTAGATAATATCTTTGGTATCTTTTTCTGGCTTCAAGAAAAGCCATTTCATCGCTTTTTCCTCCAAACACTGCAACATTTCTCTCCGGCATAATGATATCAACCAAGAAAAGGGCACTATTAGCTTCCTGCAAATGTATCAGGAAAACATGTTTGTCATTGTGCCTGATAGCAGTGATTTCTTTGTCTTTATCTTCCGTAAGAGCATTTCATTTAAAAGAAATGAAACTTAAATGAATGGGACTTTTTTCCTATTCATCCTAACCTAAAGGCATCTTTCTAGAAATATCTCAAAGGCAAATTGATTTGGAGGTTGCTGATGTTACTAGGAGGCATAATCCAGCTTGCCTCATACTTTGCTAAGAGATGCACAAGCTATAGAGATGTTCCATGGGTTTCAGCTCAGCCAGTCAGAAATTCCCCTGAAGCAGAGAAATGGACTCTGCAACTGCTCAGAGGCACTTAGACTGCTACTCTCACATCCCCTATGCTGAGTGGGGTATCAGCTCAACAACTACTGGGCCATACAGGCTTATCAATGGTCTGATGATCCTGGATTTTCTCAATTTAATCTAACCCAGGACATTTTGTTGTGTTTTGGGTGTACTGGATTCCTTGACTAGGATTTAGCAGTGAATCACAAATCTCCTGATACATCATGGCTTAGGTTTGGGTTTTCATCCAACTTTGCAAACATGGTCAGATAGTTTAGGATTTTTGTTGCAGACAGGAACAAAGTCATCTTCTTGCTCATTGCCATTAAGAAAATATAAATGATTTTGATATTCTCAGGATTTAAAACAATGTCTTATTTTTCCAGCCCCTCTAAATTAAATTTAGAGTGGTGTGGCACTTGGAGACCTTGAAACTGAGTGCTCTTTGCTTGATTGCATAGCTACCATCTCTGGCCTGGGCTCTGCTTTTGCCAACTTCAGCCTTCACAAAGAAAGAGATAACAAGTGTCTCCTTGGCAACTAATGAAAAATTAATGATCAATGCTATGCTAAGCCAGAAACAGTCTTTTAAAGGAATGTATGGGAGGAATATGCTTTTACTTCTTTCTAAATAGACACAAATCACCTGTCAGTTTGGGGATGAAACTGTCCAACAGAATGTATGTTACATCTATATTACAGTAAGAATTAACATAGCCTGATCAATGCATTTATTCATTGCTGAATATGACAGCCAGCAAATCCTTGAAAATGTAGAAAATAGTCACATTAATGAAGGGAATGACAGGTCAAAGAACAGTATTTCATGCTGTAAAAGGAAAATTACACAAAGAAACCTTTTAATAAAATACCATTCTATATTTTTGGTACAAAATTGTGTTGAAATGAACTGTCTACAACATACAAATTATTTTCTCAAACATTCATTGGACAACTCTGCAAAATCAGCAACAAGTAATATAAGAAGGTTTTATTGAACAGATTATTTAGTTATCATTTATTAAGAAAATTTATATGGCTGC